CATGTGGCTACAATACTCCTTTGCATAACTCTTGCAACAGCTTTTACCAATGTGACGCTTCTCTCTTTCCTTACATTTAGATCCACAAGCCTCTGGAATCTTCACTTTGCAACAGATCTCTACCTTCTTCACTTGCAAGTCAGATAACACCAGATCAGTAGGACTTATGCAACACTTTTGGCTAGAGACTTTCACTATCTCTCCATCGTTGCCACAACAGCTTGACTCGGATTGATCACTCTTTACAATGACCAAACTAGAAGACCCTTCTTGCTTCAAACCAGTTCCACAACAAAGGGATTTGCAATCATCACCACCATCTTCAATTTCCAATCCTGAAACCACCGACCTAACAGATTTCTCATGACAGATTTGTATCACTTCCTCCTTGTTTCCGCAGCATTTTGAGGAGTGATCCGGACAGTCTGTCTCTTCCTCAGAAGCCAGAGTTATTTCGCCGGTTTGTGTTTCGTCACTGCAGCAACCAGACTCACAGTGTCCTTCAATCTTTATCTCAAGATCAGATTGCTCAACACACTTTATCTCATGGCAGCTCTGTTTCACTGTCTCCTTGTTCTCGCAACATTCCGAGTTAGTCACATTTGTAGCCTCAACAGTTTCCAAGCTTGAAATCACCAAGCTAGCATGCTTCTCATGACAGATTTGTGTCACTTCCTCCTTGTGTCCGCAACATCCTAAGGAGAAATCTTGACTTTCTATCTCTTCTTCAGAAGCCAGAGTTATTTCCTCGGTATGTTTTTCATCACCGCAGCAATCAGACTTGCAGTGTCCTTCATTCTTTATATCAAGATCAGATTGCTCTCTCACTTCTCCTTGTATGTTTCCACAACAAACCAACTTGAGATCACAAGTTACACCAGTTTCAATGTCTAGACATGCCTTCTCATGGCAGCTTTGTTTCACTTCCTCACTCTTGTCGCAGCATCCCGAGTTGCAATCCACGCTGTCTGTCTCTTCCTCAGAAGCCAGAGTTATTTCCCCGGTTTGTTTTCCATCGCTGCAGATATCAGACTTGCATTGTCTTCTTTCATTCTTTACCTTCAGGCCCTTCTCAAGATCAAATTGCTCTCCCACTTCTCCTTCTTTGTCTCCACAACAAACCAACTTGGAGTCACAACTTACACCAGTTTCCATGTCCAGACCTGCCTTCTCATGGCACCTTTGTATTACTGTCTCCTTTTTCTTGCAACATCCTGAGTTGCGTTCCAGATTGTAAGCCACAATTGTAGCTTCAGCAGTTTGTTTCTCACCGCCGCAGCAGCCAGGCTTGAGGTTTCCTTCATCTTTAATCAGCTGCTTCTTCTCCAGGTAAGATGTTTCCGTAGCTTTCTCTTTATCACCACAACAGCTTGATTTGCAGGTTTCACCAACCTTAATCTGCATCCCATTCTCTAAATCAGTTAACTCCTCGCCAAGAATCTGCAACGCGACATGATCCTCTACTTGCTGCTTCTTCTCACAACAGCTCTTTGTCTTTGTTACCTTCACCTTCTCATTCTTATCAGCACAACAACCTGAAACACCTTTCAATTTCAGGTCATTATGGACATGAGTAGACTTCTTACATGAGCTCAAGGAAGCCATTTCACTCTTTGGCTGCTTATCGTCGCAACACCTAGGATGAGAATGATCAGAACTGGTTTTACTACTTGGTCTCATCATCATCACCTTCTCTTGATTGCTCTTATCACCACAACATCCTGAGTTGCATTGACCATTACCGCTCTTCGATAACAAACCCGCTTCTAAGTCAACTCCTTCATCATCATCGCCTTCGAGTTTCTTACCGTATAACATAGATGTAGAAGTAGCCCTGTAACACTTCTTGTTCTTGATTTTGTCCTTCTCTCGCAGCAACAACATACTATTGAGAATCACAAGCAAACAAGTCCCTACATCAGCGAGTACCGCAGCCCAAATCAAAGGATGACCAGCAAACGCCAAAGCCAGTATTCCTACTTTCACAGTGATTGATATAAAAACGTTTTGAACAACTTTGCGTTGAGCTCTTCTCGCTAGCTTTATCGCTTGCGGTATTCTTCTGATATCATTTGACATTAGAATGATATTACCCGTCTGCGTTGCAAGCGCAGAGCCAGATATCCCCATGGAGATACCGATATCAGCTGTAGCTAAAGCCGGTGCATCATTCACACCGTCTCCTACCATTGCGGTTGGTCCTTGTTTCTTAAACTCTTGTATGATTTTTGATTTATCTTCTGGAAGAAGGTCTCCATGTACAACATCCAGAACATTCCCTAGCTGTTTTCATACAAAACATTCCAAGGTTTTAAAGATAGTAATGATATTCTCTTTAAAAGAAATTCTTGGTTTTGTTGTCTCACCTGTTCTTGAGCATGCATCGCCGAGTCTTGATTATCTCCCGTTAGCATTGCGGTTTTGATTCCAAGAGATTTCAGTTCCTTCATTGCTTGAGCTACACCTGATCTACAAGCATCAGAAAGATTGAAAACTCCAGCTAATCTTTCACCTACATAGACGTATCCAACGGTCTTTCCGCCTTTCGTATCAACCTCAATCTCTGGAACTGTCAATAAGAAACAGAATCAGAATCAACAAAACCTCAAAACTTTCCATTTAGTTTGAACCTTTTACCTGTTAAACAACCAGCTCGAGAAGCAATCCTTTTGTTCCCGATATAAACATCGTTCCCATTGATCTTTCCATAGATTCCTTCACCAGGGAAATTCTGGTAATCCTCAACCTCTTCAGGCCTAGGCTCAACAGAAACCGATTTCGCGTACTCCACTAGTGTTGCAGCCATTGGATGACTTGATTTGCTTTCAACACTTGATACCCTGAAACATTGTATCCATAAATTCTCAGTCATAAGTTATGTTTTTGGTCAGAACACAAGTTTGTTTTCTTACCAGTAAAGCAAACTGCGTAGGCTTATCTCTTTAGAGAGTGACTTGAAATCAATGACAATGAACTCTCCTCTAGTTATAGTCCCGGTTTTGTCGAAAGCAGTGATCTTGATCTTTGAGAGTGTGTCAAGATAATCAGCACTCTTGATCAGAAGCCCTGAAGTCGCTGCTTTAGTAAGTGCACAGAAAGTAGCAACTGGTGTAGAGAGGATAAGACCACATGGACAAGCACTGACTAACACAACTAGTGCTAAGTGAAACCAATGCTTGAGGTTGTGAACTTTCATTATAGCCGGGACAATCGCAAAGCAAGCCGATATTATAATGATTGCTGAAACAAACAAGAAACATAGAGGTCTTTACGCGGTTCAAGAACAAAAAGAAAAAGTTTTGGTTAATGGTTTTGATTACCTGGAGTATAGTACTGAGAACATTTGTCTATTAGTCTTTGAGATTTGGTTTTACTGCTTTGAGCTTCTTCTACGAGCTTAGCCATCTTTGCGACCACGCAATCACTAGCTAAAGCGGTTGTTTTAACACTTATGTAACCTGCAAAAACAGAGTGGTGAATGATCAAAAGAGTGAAGATACAAAGAAAAGGTTAAATATTGAAAATGGCTACTACATACCATTTAGATTGATGGTTCCAGCCCAAACCGTAGAATCTATCTGTTTAGGCACAGGAAATGCTTCGCCCGTTAAAGTTTTTTCGTCTACTTCACAGTTTCCATCCACTACAATTCCATCAATCGGTATGGTTTCGCCGGCTTTAACTGCTACAATTGTGTTAATCTTAACCTCATCTACTTCAACTTCTTCTCCAGTCTCTGCTATTATTGCCTTTTGTGGAGCTAAGCTCATCAGAGACTGCATTACCGAGCTCGCCTGAGATT